ATCATAGATCCTCAGATAGTGACTAACTTCAGGGAATAATGTAATACTATTTCTATAACTGTCTTATTTCTGCGTGACACAAAGAGTTTTGAGAGAACAATTTGTTGCAGGACATTCGTATTCTGTAAATTACCCTCATGTTTCTGTTAAATAATATTTCTCAAGAAAAAAAATTATAAAAGGCTATGGACTGTTTTATACTTCAGATGTCTCACATCTTAAATTACAAGTTTGTAGAGACTTAGGAAGAATTCTTCATTCAGTGTTTATCATTACAAGTTTACTCAAATGTAGATGAAAAGGTATATAAATTTAGATGTAATGTACCTTTTTTTTAATGTGAATCTTCTTTATATAAGTGTACAAATGGAGGGGAGGGGAGAGCCTCCACTTTGCTTTCAGAAGGTCCTGAGTTCAATCCCTAGTGTCTCCAGTTTTTAAAAAGGACCAGGCAGTAGGTGATGTGAAAGATCTCTATCTGAAACCCTAGAGAGCCACTACCATTCTGAGTAGACAATACGGACCTTGCTGTACCAATAGTCTGATTCAGTAGCACTCAGCTTCGTGTGAGGGTGTTCAAATATATGAAGAGGAAAATAACAAAAATACAAACTATTGTACTTACAGCACTGTTATTACAGATACTGTTTTCAATAAATATTCAACATATAATCATTCAAATATAATGCAAGTTCTTATCTGGTTTAGTCTTTAAAAAGCACCATTTTTGATGAGCCCCTTTTGAACAAACTGTTTTCTTTCCCACATATTCCTGTATGCAGGAATGAGCATAATGAACCACCCTTTGCAAATCCAGTGTTCTGAGTTCAGTCATTGAATTCAGTCGCTGTTTCCAGTATTGTATCAAACAATTTATCTGTGGAGAACCAGTGTTTGCATTTTCTAAATAAATTAATAATAGATCTCCTGAGCCTGAAACTTGTTGACGATTGGACATTGCCACCAAATACTTAGAAAAGGTCTACTGGGACACTGTATTTTATTATTACATTTATTACAATGTAATAATACAATGGGGAAAACCAGTTAACCATTTTTAAGTGTAGTAAGGAACAATAAGTAAATACTGCCAGTCATCAAGATGTTGTATGATGGAAATGACATGTGATATCTCTTGATCAGAAATAAAAAAATTATGTAGCTGTGTTGGCCAATGGGGGGGGGGGCAAACAACAATAGCTGTAGGGGTCATTTCGTAGAAAAAGAGCTAGGGGAACTCATTAGCATAACTCATTAGCATATGTCACACCCCCTGAAATCACTGGAAGTGTGTCATAAGGCCACACCCCCTGACATCACCGGAAGTGTGTCAGAAGGCCACACACCCTGCCCCCAATGGTCCTGGCCGCCACCGCCGGCCTTGCAGCTCCACTGCCGAGCCCCATGAGGGGCCTGGCGGTGGACCTGCAAGGCCGGCGGGAGTGCAAGGAAGCCCCGTGAAGGCCCTCCCTGGCCCCAGGCAGGCAGGGGTGGGGAGAGGCAGGGAGGAAGCAACTTACCCTCCTCCCTCTTCTCCTGCCTCCTCCTGGCTGAATGAGGGCCGGAAGCGGGGCGGCCAGAAGCAGGGGGCGGGGCTTCGTCATGTGCCCCGCCCCCCCGTACCTCACCCGGGGAAACTGCGATCCCCCGCGATCCCCCCCGAAATGACCTCTCAATAGCTGATACCTTATATATTAATATCTAGTAATGCCTTTATTAGTTGGTCCTAACAAAAAGGTCTTATATCACTGCTGTTTTGTCTTGATGTTCGTAGTTGAAAGTGTTACCTTCCTAATTAGAGAAGAGAACACCTGCAAAACTTTCAAAGGAAAGCAAAGATCTCTTATTTCGTATCTCCCATCATAGTAGCCCTTTTACAAATCATTTTACAAATCATTGGAATAAACATATATTATGAGATGAATTGGATGAAAATTTGAGGTACCTTCCAGACTTCTGGTATTTTGTTTTTAAGGTGATGTAGCATCATTATTTTTCAAGATGGGTAGCCGGGTTAGTCTGTAACAGTAGATAAGAGCAAAAGTCCAGTAGCACCTTAAAGACTTAACAAAAATTGTGGCAGGGTAGAAGCTTTTGTAAATCTTGCTCTTTTTTGTCATTATTTTTGTTAACAGCTTTGTGTTCTATGATCCAAAATTTATATTTATGTTATAGCAGAACTAACACTTTGCTTTTAAAACCTGATAAAGGACTATGAATGTGATTTGATTAACAGTATTACTTAACATGATTTGCTTATTTAAAATGTATATTCCACTATTCAAAAGTTCAAGCAGTTGTAAAAGAGTCAGTTCACAGAATCCAAAGGCAAAAGCCACAATAGTCAGAAAACAATATCACAGATCATGCCTTCCAGACAGTACTTTTATGTGCCCTGTTGGAAAGGCTGAGATCTTAACAGGGTGTTATCTATACCTCGAATGGCATAGCGCTTTGATTAACTGACTCACATGGCAATTCTAAACTGAATTATGTCCTTCTAAATCTGTAACCACTTAGGCCTGCAGTGGCAGTTAGAAGCTTAGGAGTTCTGTCAGATCCGGTTCTTTTGCTGGAGATTCAAGTACACCTAGAAGCAAAACATCTCTTTTCCAACTTAAAATGCTATGGAAACAGTCCACTTCCTTGGACTCAGGTGACACAGGCATGCCAATACATGTTACGATAACCTCAAGGCTGAACTATTGTGATATACTCTATGTGGGGCTGCCCTGAAGACAACATGGAAGCTCTAATTGGTACAGAATGCAGTCACTTGACTGTTGGTATGGGGTTAAATGTTCTGAACATGTCTGAGTTTTAAATCAGTACAAATTGATTCTGTGATCACAGTTCTGGTGTTAGCCTTTAAAGTAGGGTTGCCAAGTCCATCTTCCACCCCCAGCGGGGGACTTTGGAGGCGTTCCTGGAGGGGGTGGGGCATCCCCAACGTGATGACGTCACGTTGGGGACGTCTGCCGCCCCCCACCCGCCCGTGCGCCGGATCTCCAGAAACGCAGGTCCCTGCACTTAAAGTAGCCGGCAGCCGGCGTTTCCCCTTTAAGAGCAGCTGCGTTTCCCTTTTAAGAACGAAGCTGGCTTTTCCCTGCAAGCTTGCGGAGTTCGCGCTTGGAATGAAACACAGGTTGCACACGCTTAAAGGGAGAGAGATGGGTGGCTGTGGGTGTTGGGGATGGGGCTTCCCCCCCAAAACGGGGGCCCCCTGCAAACCAGGGGGGGGGGTTGGCAACCCTCCTGGCCTATGGCTTCCGTATCTACTAGACCACCTCCACCCATATGTGTCCTAGGGATGCCAGCCTCCAGGTGGAACCTGGGGATCCCCTGGAATTATGTCTCATCTCCAGACTGCAGAGATCAGTTTCCCTGGAGAAAATGGATGCTTTGGACAGTAGACTTCATGGTCCCTGTCCTCCCCAGGCTCCATCCCCAAATCTCCAGGAGTTTCCCAACCTGGATCTGGCAACCCTAATATGTCTCCAAGACAGCTCTGATCATCAGATGAGGGACTGATAGTAGTTCTTCCACTCAGAACTGCCATCGTCCAAGCTTCAGCTTTCTCAGTGGCTGGTAGGGAGGCCAGCCTCCAGGTGGGATCTGGGGATACCCCCGAATTACAACTGATCTACAAACGATCAAGTTCACCTAGAGAAAATGGATACTTTGGAGGGTGGCATCTATGGCGTTTGTACCCCCCTGAGGTCTGTCCTCCCCAGGCTCCATCCTCAAAGATCCAGGAGCTTCCCTGCTTGGAGCTTGCACCCCTTCCTCCCGCCAGCTGCCAGGAGGGACCTGGCAACCAGTGTTCCCTCTAAGCTGAGTTAGTGTGAGCTAGCTCACAGTTTTTTTAGCCTCCGGCTCACACATTTTTGTCTCAGCTCAGGAAGGAGGGCTCCAGAGCAAACTAATTTATGCAGTAGCCAAATCGCTCACGATTTTAATGCCAGTGGCTCACAAAGTAGACTTTTTGCTCACAAGACTCCACAGCTTAGAGGGAGCATTGCTGGCAACCCCTGACTAGCATCCCACGTGGTATCAAACGGGCTTCCCGAGAATGTGAGAAAGGCTCAGATTTTAGAGTCTCTGTAAAGGGGAGCTTTTTGATGAGCATCTGCTGGCCCATGAGCGGCAGTCGTGGATTGCTTCCTTTTCTTTGTATTGCTGTCGATGTGAGATTGTATTTTTGTTTCTGGATTTGAATGTAAGCTGCATCGAGTCCTGTTGATCAGGAGTAGGGTTGTCAAAGCCTGGGCGGGTGTGTGTGTGTTCTTGTTTAATAGAGGGCAGCTGTAGAGGCAGGGCACATGTGTACCCAAAGAAGCAGGGGGTATGATGGATGGTGGGGAGGAGTTCACCCTCTGGGTGATACTGGTTAACTGAGCATTTTGGATAATCAAGTGCTGGATAACAAAGGTTTTACAGCAGGGGTGTCAAACTCATTTGTTCTGAGGGCCGGATCTGACATAAATGAGACCTTGTTAGGCCGGGCCATGGGTGTCATACAATGTAATGCCAGGTAGCAGAGATATAAACTTTATAAAGGCCACAAACATAAAGGGTTTTTTTTAACTTAAAATAAAAACATGCTTAGAGCATTAGCACCCTTGCAATATTTTGTTTATTTAACAGTGTCTGATAACTGACACCTCTTGCTCTGAATTATTGCATCAAAATGTCTGTGCTGTTGCAATCTTGAGTATGCTGTTCAGGTGTGTATCTGTAACCTGCAAACCTATGATGATGCAGCAGCAGCAGAACTGGAAGAAGCAGCAGAAGACAGCCAGTTCCACTGCAGGCCTGATAGAAGCCCTCCGGGGGCCTGATGTGGCCCCCGGGACGCATGTTTGACACCCCTGTTTTACAGCATTATCTAAACTTGTGTCCTACATATATCATACCCTAGGAACTGAATCAGAATATGACAATCTAAGTTGCAATTTGTTTTTTTCTTACAGACTTAGCGTAAACTGCTCAGAGCCGCTATGACACCTGCTCTCCGAGAGAAAGTGATGAAAGGTCATGGTATCTGCTTATCTTCTTCTTTGTCTTCCAAAGCTATGGAGCCCAATGAAACGCTGGGCGTGGGAAATGTCAAAGCAATCAAAGAGAAGATAAAGGAGGATTCGGTGGCACAGATCACTTACTCAGTGCTGGGGTTTCCCACCCCGCAATCCAGCCTCCAGAGCGATCTCTTTGATTTAAAGTGCTTTGGCTCCCAGTCTTCTCAACATTACCCCGTATTAATGAACTCCAATTCGTCTCCCAGTATATACAATAAGCATTGTATGCAGAGGAGCTTGCAAGAGCAGAATTGTTCTAGGATGAGAAATCCTTTATGTAACAGCACTAACACACACTTCAGTCAGATTACTGATGCCGAATCTAGAGAAGGGGAAAGTTTATTAGTGGCGATGACGCAGAACTCTTCAGAGACTGGGAGACCGTCGGAGCCGCGTATAACCGCATCTGGTTATGCAGAAGAAAGACAACTTCCTAACTGTAAATGGCATTGGAAGAATGGCTTTTTCGGTAAGCCTTTATCTGTAAATACTGAGACGAAAGAAGGAAAAGTGTTCCATCATTGCGAAGCCCCGGAAACGAAAATGGACGACAGTTCCAGTAATAAAGAACAGAAGCTGAATTTTCGCTTACTCCAATGTGTAAATAAGCAGCAGGCTTTGCTAAGCCGGGCCAAAAGAACTCAGAAACATTTGCAGATCCTCTTGGCAAAACACGTTGTCAAACTCTGTGACCAGCAGATGAAACGCTTCGTGAGGCATCAGCTACAGAGGATGAAAGTTTTTCATAATCCCAACAGAACGTCAGATGGCAGTTGTAGATATGCCGAAATTAAAACAGAAAGCAGTAATCTCGAGGCGAGTGCGAATAAACACCTACAGCGGGATTTCACTGATGCCCCTGGTGAAATCCAGGTATTTGCTCACTCCACAACTGGCCTGTTGTCTCAAGTGGAAAAAAATCTGGATTCTGACGCCACTTGTAGCAGCTCCAGCGAAGATGAGGAGAAGGAGCAGGTTTCCAGAAGAGTTGTGGCAGTGTAAGTGTTACAGAATTTCAAAGTTCCTACTCAGCGATCCTCTAAACAGTTAAATACGCTCAGGTTCCAAATAAGTGGATCCTGTGTACATGTAGAATTGAAGTTTGTGAAATATAAATGAGATATAAGGCCAGGATCTACCTGCCTTTTATTATTTAACTCACTCTTGCTAAGTTGTTTGGTAATAGTTGGGCAGGGTTTAAGTTATTTACATGTTCATGAGAGAAGGAAGTTGCAGTGCTATTCGTATATTTAAGTAAACTTTTATCAGTGTGATAAGTTAAAGCAGCAGTTCCCAGCCTTTTTGGTATGGTGACCCAGAAATTCAAATTTACGTGGGCAAGTTGACCCATCCAGGGCTGGGCCAAGGTGTTTTGGTGCCTTTGGCACCCACCTAGTTCAGCATTCCATTGTCTACAGTACCTAACCAGGGGTTTTTTTTTGAGAAACAAACAAACATTATTAACTCCAAGCAAGCAGCATTTCAACATATACAACCTTTGCATATGGAGTTTACAGTCCAGGCTTTGACCACCCTCTCCTTCTTCATTACTCTCTCTAATCTCCTCTGAGCGTCTAAGAAACTCACTCTAGTAACCATCAGGACACATTTTACTTGATCAACAGGTATATGCAGTGAAGAAGAAAACATCGACTAAAGTGTGGCCGGTAAGATATTGTTTCCAGGGTCAGATCTTGGTGTCCAAGATACAAAAGAGAGTGATGGAAAGGGTGTGGGGTTCGTTAGGGAGGGCTGGCCCATGGACTCACTTTCAGAGGCTTCGCAACCCACTTTTGGGTCCCAACTAGGGTTGCCAGGTCCCTTCGAGAAGCTGGCGGGGGATGGGGGGGGA